AAATCTAATAATAACAAAGATTGAATAACTCAAACCTAACCTAGCTAATAAAAACACTTATTGCTAGGGTAATAGCAATTTCCAGTATGTATCAAAAATCTTTTTGACCAGGCATGGTGGTATACAACTATAATCTCAGCTACTCATGAGGTAGAGGCAGAAAAATGAAGAGTTTGAGGCTAACCTGGACAAAGTTAGCAAGACCCTACCTATTTCAAAAACAAAATAAAAAAACAAAAACTCTAGCTTTGCTTAAGTGATAGAGTACTGATCTAGCAAGTGTGAGGCCTTGGGTTCAGACCACAGTACCACAAAAAACAAGCAAAACTTTTTAAATAGTACATATCCTTCATCCTAGCAACTCCTCTTCAAACAACTTATTCTCAAGAAAAATCAAAATGAGACTACTTATCTACAAATTTTTCACTATAGCATTAATTAAATATGAAAACATAGAATGACTTAAATGTTTGTACTAAACAGACCAACCTTGAATAGAAACCTTAGAGGTTAAGATAATTTTGGAATTTGAAGAATCCCAAATGTTTAAGACAGAGAGTGCAATTGATAAGAACACAAACAAAATACTGACAAAAAATTTGTCAAAACCAAAAATTCTGAAATTGAATGAAAAATTTCCAATTAAACCCTAATGATTTACCAGACTTGGTGTTAGTATCTTTACTCAAATGTGACATAAAAACTAGAAAACAACTCAAGATCCTAACAAATGAAAAATTAAAAGAACTAGAAAATGATTAAAAGTCATTCTCTACTGCCTATCAAAATTAAGTCTTAAACATAATCATTATTCTCATATTTAAAGGTTTCAAGTATGAAGTTCAGTTTAGGATGCAGAATACCATGAAACTATTACTTTCACTCTAAAAATCAAAAAAATGTTCTAATTTTTTGCAGACATCTAAAACCTTGATTTGTTGTTGACAACAAAGCAAGCAACTTGAATTCCACAATGTCACAAGTCCCTCCCAGAAGGGAGATTCAGACAAATTTTTTCTCCTTTGGCAAAGCATGAAAGCAAGAGTTAGCAACCACATAGGTAGGCAAAAGAAAACTAAAATTTTAATGAGTTCTTAAGATTTCAGGTATATAACGTGTAAGACTTATTTTGATAGAGAATAATCTTTAGGATTCTTCCTAATACAAAGTAATTTTTTAAAAGGAATAGCTAACATTTAGTCTGTGTTTTCTGTATCCCAAGTATTGTGGTAGCATTTATTATGCATTATTAAAGCAGATCCAACAATCTAATAAGACAAGATTATTAGTATCCTTTCTTAATAAAGGAGAAAATGGCCCAGAGTAGGTAAGTAATTTGTCCAAGTGTCCACTGCTACTAAGTGTGGACACTTAGACAAAGCCAGGATTCAAACTGAGGCATCCTGACTACAGAGAATGGTTTGCAATTATGTGTCTGGTCTCCAACCCTTTCTTAATGCAATTTAAAATGTTTAAATAATTTCTTTGGTTCAGTTTTCATAGAGAACAAATTAAAAACAATCTCCTATTAATTTTTCTTATAGATGTATCAGGACAGAATATCAAGAAAGTCATGTTTAAGACAGAATTTAACTTTTTACCTTGCAGGTAATGGTGCCATCACTTGATTTAGGCTAACATGTAACTTTAGTCTCCATGGAAAACAAAGAGCAAATTGGAATCCTTTTATTCTTGCACTAATCTGTTCATCACAGAACATACAACCAAGGAAAAAGTACATCATTTTTCTATTTAAATAGAATCTATATTTCATATTTGATTTTCAAAATGAAATTACTACTGAATATATATACATGCACACACATACACACACAATATATACATTTATATATATTTATGTCATTTATGTTTGCCAGTCCTTTTTGGCCTCTCCTGTGCCCTGATAATACTGTTAACTATGCTGTGATTTTGACTCTGCATAATATTCCTGACTTTCCCAAACAGCTCATGTTGTATGAGATATACTTCCCCAACTTACAAAATCAATTTGTATTGCATTTGAAGCTTCCAAAGAGTACTAGAAATTACTCAACCGAATGTCATTTGCAGTTAGAAAGATGTAATTCTTTTGTCTTGGATAATTCCAGTTCTATTTCTTACTAAAATGGAACGTGGTATGAGCTGTGAAGATTAAATTATTGGGACTAATTAGGAAACTACAGTAAGCCCACCATACTCACAAATTCATTATACACCATTTTAACTAAATGCATTTAAAAAAAAAAAAAAAGCAAATACTGTCTAAAAAAGCAAGATAAAAGTTATGGTCATGCCCTCAAGTCAAAAGGGCATGTAATGTGTTTAAGTGATATAAAGAGCATAAATAAGCTTTGGGCTTTAATGAGCAGTATTAATGTATGTAATAGTATCTTTATGACAGTACTGTAGCCTACTCCATCCAGTTTCAAGTTATGGATGCTCAAACCTACTGTATGCATAGTACTGGTAAATTTGAGAGTTTTCTCTTTTTTTATGGGACTGGTTGAACTCAGGCCTTCACACTTGCAAAGCAAGCACTCTACAGCTTAAGCCACACCTCCAGTCCTAAATTTGAGAAATTTTAAAAGTACTGAACTCTTTGCATCCTGGCATTCACAATTGTTCCTCAGGGGTGGTCTCCCTGGAACCACATACCTGCAGACACCAAATCAACTGTTAAATACTGTACATTAGTGGCAATCACAATGCAGTCCTTTAAGAGACCAGACAGCAATTTCTGAGTAGCTAGTAATCTCAGGTCTTCAACGGACACAATTACTTATATCAAAAAGAATCACATGTGCCAATTTTTATTTACTATATTAAGGGAATATCTATGATTAGAAGTAATGCAAAAAAAAATTATTCCCATTATAAAGTGTGCTGAAGCATTTCTGTTACCAGGGCAAATCAGTCAAAGTTGACAAGCTCTCCCTGAACTCTCAGAGAGGACCTTGAGTCCACTAATTCAGATATGACACATTTCTAGTTCTCTGGGAACTCATAGCTAAACCCATGACTGAACAAGGTTATTTATCTTTAAATTTAGAACCAGCCCATCTGTTACACCTACCAATCCATGAGATCTAGGTCTTAAGTGTCCTCTCTCAATTATGTCATATCTCAAAGCTTTTTACAATTCTCCTTATGGTGTTTAAGTATTTTTCTTGTGGTTTGTTTTTTTTTTCTCCTCCATTAGTTTACAAGCTCTATCTTGTTCACTTCCCTGAAGAAAACTACAGGTTTTTTTTTCTGGCTAAAAAGTTTTCTTTAATGAATTGCAAAATAACAGAAAGGATGTAGACTCAAAGGAAGACAACTACCTTCTCCAAAGTAACACAAATGTAACTTTATGTAAAAAAAATCAGGAGGTTGTGTCTTAAAATATTTTCCGTATCAGTTTAATGACTTGTGAACACTTAGTCTAGTATTCTCTGCTTCATTTCAATTAAAATCGATTTTTTAATAGATTTCTTCTTTACCCCAATCTCACTTTCCAGAACAAACCAAAGGTTCGTGAACTCCTTCCCGTCAAGAGGTAGTTATTTTTCAAGCCAATGACCAAGCTTGAAATAAGCACATACCTGAGCAAGGAAAGATTAATTTCAGTACGAAGCAGATTTTTTTTCAAAGAAACACAAGGGTACGTCATACAGCAGAACAAATATTTTAATGTTTGTGTGGAAGCTGGCCTGCTTACTTTCTGTACTTTATAAATCCTCTGCCTTGTTATTGGGCTTGGAATTCATCCTCCTCCCCTCTCCCACTGTTGTCCTGGGGTCACAGTTGCATAGTCTGCACAGTAGATTTCGCACGGTCACCCTACCTGGAATACGGCATGCTCCCTACTCACCGCCCCCGACCTCTTCTGCTCAGATAGGCCAAATGCATCGGCTTTGGGGCAGTGGCGCACGAGGACGCGGCGGGCTGAGCGCAAGAGCCCGACTGCTCTCCGGGTGGCGCCTTGGGCTGCTCGGGTAAAGAGCTTTGCAAGCATTACCGTCATCTTATTTATTCCCTAGTAGCATTCGTGGGACCCGCGAAGGTCCCTTTCCCACCGCACGCGGGAACCACTGTGGCCCCCAGCTCACCTCAAATTACACCATCGCTTCAGCTTACACAAGGCTTTCACGCGCGTTATCTGATTTGATCCTCACGGCAAGCCTGTGGGATGTGCGTCGTCGTCCTGCCTATTTTAGAGATAAGGCATAGCTCCTGTCCACAGACCCGGTCCTAAGGGCCGTCCTAACGCGGGTGAAGGAAGAAGCCTCCTGGCAGAGACAGGCAGGTGTGACACCCACGGCTCGCAGCCCCTCACCTGATCTCTACTCAGGTCAGGGAGGTGGGCCTCGCGACCACGGCCGCTCAGAGTGTCTGGGATCCCCTTTATCTCCGCCTGCGCTCGCTCGGGAACCCAGACACCAACGCGCTTCACCCGCTCCCGGTCAAGCTCACCATCCGATCTCGCTAGACAGCATCTGGAAGGGATCGGGAAACTCCGCGTCTGCCACAGCCAGCCAGGATTTAGACCCACGCTCGGAGGCGACGGCAGTGGCGGTCACCCGAAGGCCTGCAGGTTCCCGGGAAAGGTAAACCCGTTCACAGTCAAGCAGCTGACATTTCCCAGTCAGCCGGAGCACCGCCCACTTCCGCTTCCCCGCCTACCCCGCGCGCTGTCCAGCCCCGCACCGCAGGGGTTTGTGGGTACTTAGAAGGCGGGCAAAAACTGCGAGGGAAGGAAGTAGGAGCGAGTCAGTCGGACTGCGAAACAGTCTAGAAACTACAGTTCCCAGCAGGCTGCGGGGCCGCAGACGGCGGCCCCTGAGAGAGCGGGCAGAGAGCCGTGCGCGCGCGGCAGGGATGGAACGTTGCTAGAGTTCGCGGGTCTGGCGGCTGCGGCCCGAGCCGCACTTGGAAACTGCCGCGTGCCTAAGCGGGAAGCCAGGAGACAGGCGGCTCTACAATTAATGCACGGATTTAAAACTCCCTAACCTGTGAACGCTATGCACAGGTAAGCCGATTGCAAAAAAGGGCTAAGCATGAATGCACCGTCTTAATTCTTTTAGGCCGCTAATATTCTACTTGCTCAGATTGTTACTAATGCTGTTACGTGAATAGTTGCTTAGCCCCGTTCTTGGGGAAAGGATGATGAATGCTTTAATGCGGAGGTCAGCGTGCGGTTTTATTTGGCTTCCCTACTTGGGTTTTCCTGCTACCGTTTTCAATCACTGTATGATTGCCCTCCCTCTTTCCTTGTTCTCTCCACGTGAAGAAATTTCTTGAGGCCTTCTGCGTGATCGTAAAGCCAAAAGCCTTTTCGGTTTTTTCAGTTTTCTCTTTCATTCTTGGAGACTCGCTGAGGGCACGAAAAAAATGCAATTCTACTAGCTGCTGCGAAAGTTTTCTACAATGCATAGCTTGATGTTTCTTTCGTGCCTACCCTGGAATGATGTAGGGGTGTGTTTGCAAAAGAATGGGGTGTTGTGCCCTTCTACAGGAAGCACCTCCAGGAGATTCCGGACCAAAGTAGCAACGTTAGCACCAGCTTCACTTGGGGATGGGATTCAAGCAAGACTTCTGAACTGCTGTCAGGCATGGGGGTCTCTGCCCTGGAGAAGGAGGAGGTGGACAGTGAGAACATCCCCCAGGAACTGCTCTCAAACCTGGGCCTCCCCCAAAGCCCCCCACGGAAACGGCTGAAGAGCAAAGGGAACGACAAAGACTTTGTGATCATTCGCAGGCCTAAGCTCAATCGAGAGAACTATCCAGGTAGGTATGAGGGTCAAACTGTCATTTATGTCAGGGATGGATTGCACTGTTTTGTTTTTTGTTTTTTGGGTTTTTTTTGGGGGGGAGGTGGTCTTTGGGATGGGCCCCTTGTAAAATTGCCTCATTCTAAAGTTATTTTGCTGTGAAATGGGGCCAGTCATCACTGAAGTCTACAGAATCTCCCAGGTCTTCATCTTCTGCACTGTTGTCTGGAAACTTTTAACCCATGAGACAACATTCCTGCCTTTTCCCTTAGAAGGGAATCTGCCTGCTCAAAGCCCAGCTCAGTGCCACTGATGGATGGGAACATAAACAGTGATCTTCATGTAGGATTCCTTTTGTTTATAATCCCAGAGAGAGCTTTCTGCCTTAATCACTGTAGTTATTTGTCAATGGAATGCTAAAGCAAACGTTAATGTAAGTAGAGGAGACTTGTCTTCCCAGGTCCATTCCCAAACAGGCTTGTCCTGGGAAGTTGTTTCCTTACATTACCTTTCAGTCACCCAACCCAAAAACTGAAGTCAGTCTGCTTCCCATCGCCCTCCCAAGTTCCAAACAATCATTGCATCTTTCCCTCTTGTCTAGTAAGTATTTCTCAAGCTTTTATCTTTCACATGAACTATTGGAATGTATTCACGCTTTTAGCCTTCTGCATCCCCCAAAAATATAATGGATCGAGTAAAACATAGGATTCACTTTATATTATGCCTCTCTTAAAAGCTGTTCATTCCTACTGAGTACTTCCAGGGTGGAATCCTGGAATACTCAAAGCCATAAGGTAAATAGAGTGCATTGTGTATCAGTTTTTCTTGCTAGTAAAGTCATTTAAAATAAAAATTGAAATATTTGCTGAGCACATGCTAAGTGCTAGGCATTGTTCTAGATGCTGAGAACACAATAGTAAGCAGAATAAACATTCCTGCCGTCATGAAGCTTCCATTCTAGTGGGAGAATACAATAAAAACAATAAGATATTTTATGTACTGTGCTAGAGGGCAATAAGTGCTATGACTGAAAACAAAATACTGCAAGCCAAGTGGAAGAGGAAGTCCTGTGATAGAAAAGTAGATTACAGTTTTAAACAGGATATTGGGAGAATGCCTCAATTGCACCGTGACCTTTAAACAAAGGCACGAAGAGGGCAAGGGAGTATACCATGCAAATGTCTGGGAGAAAAGAGCCCCCAGCAAAAGGAACAGCCAATGCATGATCATGGGGAAAAGGATGAAACAGGAAACTATATACTAAGAGTAGTGGGAAAGGGGACGGTAGGGGAAAGTCAGGCTAGAGATGGAATTCAGCGGAGTTATGATGTAACCTGATTGAACTTTTGATATGCTGATCCTGAAATGTAGGAAGTGGGAAATAGAATTTTACAGACTTGTTAAGAGATAGGGAGCAATAAGCAGTGGTTAGAGCCTGGATATATTCGAATGTTAGAGACAACAGAATTAGTGGACTGTTGAAATTGTCTATATAAGTGATCAGAGTCTAAACTGAAATTGAGTGAGTGATGATGGATAATGAGACAGACATTAAAGAAATAAAGATGGAAGTCTTACAGATCCTAAGTAAATGTGTATATTCCTAAATTTCTATATTTGGCTTTCTTGGCAGAAAAGTTGCCTGTTTTCTTGCTTGCTTAAAATAACTGTTTAGTTTCTTGACTCTTTCCTTAGGACAGGGAGCCTTGTCCATGTTACAGCATGGGGATCCACATCAAGAATTAGATTCATACTGGGCTGGGTGGTGCACATCTGTAGTCCCTGCACTCAGGAGGCAAAAGAATGAGAAATTCCAGACCAGCCCTGGGCTACATAGTGAGATACTGTCTAAAAATGAAATAAAACCAACTGCCCTCCCCCCCCCCAAAAAAATAGGTTGATTAGCAAGGCAGTAGAGGGTTGTGGTGAGGTCAGACAAATCTGGATTATAATCCTTCTGTTTACCAACACCTTGGAAAGGTGCTGGTAACCTAAGGCTGTAAGCCTTAGTTTCTTTACCTGTGACCTGAAGTAATAATTCCCACTTCCAGGGCTGCTGTGAAGCTTACTTAAGTGAAAGTGTCTAGAGCTCTTAGCATGCGTCACGCATTTAACGCTCAATAAGTAAACCCAGTTAATACTGGTCAACAAAATTTCTGACACCCATTTGGGAGGCTAATTGACTTTTGTTAGTCTGACTCTGTTAATATAGAGCTTTTTTTTCTTTAAAATTTTATGTCACTTATTTTTAGCACCTGGAATGTAGCACTAATAAGTTGGTACTGGACCATACAAATGTGGTGAAAGATATTCCCTGCAAAGATGAACAAATTTTGATTAAATTGTCTAGTGCTGATAGCTTTTGACATGGACTATGACTGCTATGTATCTTTCCACATTCACACATACACAGATGTAAATTTTTTAAAAAGACATCTTTTAAGTGAGGCACTGTGGGAACCAGACAAAAGTATAAGGGATGGTTATTGGCTCCTAGGAAATTGGAAATCAAGTTCAGGAGAAAAAACAAAAAATAAGAGCATCTCACTGCAGTATGTGGTTGCTACTAAGACTAGCAGCAGTGAGTTCTCTAAGAACAAAGAGGAGGGAGCCCTCTTGGAAAAGTTACTCAAGTCCAAGGTAGAAGTGGACAGTCTTCCACTCAGCAAGAGTGAAGCTTCCAAGAAAAGAGAGGAGCTGAAAATGGTCCAATCAATGACTCTAGATTTTAAAATTGACTGTAAAATTGTTTGCCCAAGGTGAGAGGCACAGGAGAGGGGGAAAACAATAACATACATGTGCATGTGGGTGAACTTAATGCAAACATGTCTATTGGTTAATTGCTGTGGATGAGGAGTGCACTCATGATGCAGGATGAAGGACAGCTGGTCGAGGAGAGTCCTAATGGGCCCCCGGAAGCAAGCTGAGGCCTCTAGTGTAGCAGGATCTTCATTCCAGGGACTTGGTCTGCAGTTGTCAGGACAGGTGGCTAATAGCCTTGCCAAGATTAGGGCAGGACAGGCCACACCTGCTGTACATAGAGATCTGATGACTGGCCCCGAGTTTAAGTTTTGTTGGTTTTTTGCTAAGCCGGCTCTCCCTGCAGGCCCCAATCCAGCCTCACATCTGGCGTCTAAATTCCTCCTCATCTGTTTACGTTAGAAGATTAAAGCTGTGTGGCCAAGCTAGACCAGAACAGGTCTGATTGGCCCTTGGGGTGAGTATATGGAAGGAGTTGGGAGGAAACAGCCAGTAAGAAGTAGAATGAGGACAATCACATTTTATTTATGGTCATTAAATGTTTGTTTCCTGCCCTTTAAACAGGTGATGGCCATGAAAATGTAGTTGAACTAATTTGTTGATCAGTTCTTCCATGGCTGTTAGAGGGCTTGAAATTCCAGACCCTACAAAGGTTTTCAGACTGGAGATTCTAAAGTTCAGAGTGTATCAGAATCCCCGAAGGAACTTGTTCAAAGTGGAAAATTCCTGAGATTCTGAACCAAGAATTCCTTGAGCTTGAGAATCTGTGTTTTAATACCCCAGGGCAAACGTTTTTTCTTCAGCTCTTCTTTAAGCAGTAAGAAATATGTTTTATATTGCAATTCTGGATGCGTATCTGAAACGAGAGTTTCACAGAACTATATTTCCCCTTATTAAGATATTTTCTGTTCTGGTTCATTAAAAAAAAAAAAAAATACTGGTCAAACCTAACTAAATTGTTTTCAGGACCCATCAATGAGTCTCAGTCAACAGTCCCACCTCCCAGTTCTGTGGAAGTTTTTATGGGACCCTCCCAGTCATCCTTGTTTGTTTTATAGTTTCCTTTCCCATTCAGAAAATACTTATTGAACAGTGTTGTAGGAGTGGTGATACAGTAGTGAACATAAGTGAAAAACTCTGCTTTCCTAGAGCTTTATATTCATTTTTATTTCCCAGATCCTAATTTCCTTGTTTATTTGTTACTCTTCAGATCCCCCAGGGTTGAGCAAGTCTTTCACAGAAATAAAGAGTTATAGACTGAGGGTTTTACTAGGGACCCCTGTTTTGTTTTGCTATGTTTTACTTTTTTTTTGTTTTTGTTTTTCCCAGCTATATACAAAGCTAGCAGTCTTCTGTTTTCTCTTTATTGTTTTTGCAGGAAAAGGAAAGAACTCATCCAGGGTGGCAAAATCGGTACATAGTTACCCAGAAAGGAAGCGCGCATAGTTCCCCCTAGAAAGGAAGCATGCATGGTCCCTCCCCCCACCACCCCAAAAGGGTCACTACTTAAAACAAACCAGCAAAAGCAATCATGAGATGAGCCCTGCCCCACCCTTAAAAAAAAAAAAGAAAGGAAAAAGAAAACAGAAGACTTGAGTACCAGGGCCTCAGTGCCTACTTCACCTGCAAAATTTGATTATTGATGCCTAAAGAAAGGAGCAATTTATTTATTTACTTATTTAACTTTTCTGTGTTTTGTTTTTTTTTTTTTGAGACAGAGTCTCTGTGTAGCCCAGGCTGGACTGGAACTTGTGATTCACCTGCCTCAGCCTCCTGGGTGCTAGGATAACACATGTGTACCACCATGCCTAGCTGAGGAGCAATTTTAAAAGTCAAAATTTGGGATATGTTAGGGTTACTTTGGGTTTGTAATTTGAAACTGAGTGTAAGTGATGTTCTGAAAAAGAAATAGGTCAAGTAAGATGAGTTACCGGTACTGCAAAGATCAAATTCATAGAAAAGTCTCCCACATCCCCATCTTTCCAGAGGAGTTTGAGCAGTATGGGAAGTGGTGGGTTTCAGAGGTGGGAAGGTGAGTTTGTACCTGAGGTAATTAGAAGAAATGGTAGGTGAGCGTAATCAGCAGCAAACTCTGCTCTGGCCAGTTTTTACCCTTTCCTGCCTCTGAAGGGTGTTTCCCTGTTGTTCCTGTTGTTGAAGACTAGAGGCCTTGAGTTTAATAATTATTTTCCTTCATGTAGGGCTGGTGTGCAGCCCTGGTGGGTTTAGCAGAAGCAACTGGAGAAAAGACCTGGA